GGGAGCATTGACCGTAGGATGCGACAAAGGCATTTATTTCGAGTGCTGGACGCTGGAACACTTCTCCGCGGGCATCCGAGTCATGCGTGCTGTGCGGGAAGAAATGACAGGCATGTTGAATGCAAAGGCAAAAAGTTGCAACTCATTGACATTATCAATGTATCGAGGAGGGTATCGGTGGAATTAGAAGTGAGCTAGACGAAATGCTGCGTGATAAAAGTCCTCCGGATGCGCGACCTCCTGCCTGCGGAAAGAAGCTTCGCCAAGACCGAACGCGTACGTCGCTCTTTGCAGCGTCCTTTTCTTTCCCACCCATGGTTGATCCCGGATCACAAGATGGGTGGGAACATTCTCGGATATCGCCATTGACGTGTCCTTTAGTTTGCTTTGGGTTTTGAGGTGTGTCCCTTGCTCTACATGACAAATTGAAAACTTCCGAACAAAAACTAGTATGCTGCTTTGGAAGAAAGGAAAGTTGAGATTGGCGGCCTTCTCGTTTTCTAATGGCATTTTACCGATGAAAGTCCAATACTAAGCACAGTCTAAAGACTTTATGTCTCAAGGGGGGCGTTCCATGCCGTATTCCGGCCACGCTAGCCTGAATAATGCGGCCTCTCAAAAATTCCCTTTAAGTGAGAGTCATCAAGAGGAACAGGAACGGGACGCAGCCACACGTCCTACGGAACTGACGCGGATGCAAACGGCAGCCAGAGAAGCTGAAGAGGAAGAATTGAGAAAAACAGGTAGAAATGAAGTACAGCAAGGAGGCACGGCATCACAAGTCAAAGCAGGGGCTGAGTACCTTGAAAAAGAGGTGAGTTTTTAATGAGAGACATCTTTCCCGTGACTTTGCTAGATCATAGAGCTTCGAATGCAAAGATCGACAGATATTTCTGGTATTTTTATCATTTCACATATCATGTGCAGCTCCACGATATAGAGCAATCAAAAGCGAAAGAGGTAACTGAAGGAGATGACTGAGGAAGAGGGATGTTTATGAAGGCAGCAAAGGTCCAGAAAGAAAGACTAGTTAAAATCCCTGAAATGAATGCGACATTTTGCGAAGAAGCCTTGCTATTACGATATTAATTCAATGTTCATTTATAGCTATACATCAGCTTGGGGCGTGCTGTTTGTTTTTTCAAAATAAAACATTGAGCTTGCGTTAAGTGCATGTAGTCGAGAAATATGCACTCTTTAAGCAATTGGCTAGACAGGCTCGCGTACTCGTGCTCAAGGCATAGATATCCGAGATTTATCCCTTACATGTATCCATAGTGGCTACATGCGCCCCCCATCTCCTTATATTCTTGTAACACTGTTGGGTAGTCTGCATTTCGTACTGATGTATCAAGGATTCATCTTTCTTCTTTTAAAAAAAAAGGTAACGCCACCCAGAGTGGAGGGGGGGGGAAGTGAAAATTGACAAATTATTAAATTATAAAGCTCGCAATGCTCCTCTTCGTGTTGGAAAAAATACTTTCTGTCGCGATAAGAAAGCTAAGCCCTTCCCACGTTACGTACCATCCTAGGTGGGGAGGTTAAAGGCGCGATTCAACTTCTAGGCCGCTTCCATTGATCTATAAATACACCATCTTTTGACTCCGCCTGCAGCAACAACGTGAACAAATCATATAGCTACCTTATTATTGACGTCCTCTTCCAAATTAAAGCCCTAGGTCGTGCAGAAGGCCGGCGTGCCATGGCGGGCATGTGGGCTTTAGACACGATGGCGCTGCCGTCGGTGAAAGACAACATGGAGGATGCCTCTCGATCGTCCGAAAACTTGACGGGAGTTGATCAACATGCGGCTGAATCGTATCCTACGGCTCCAAAGGCCATCGACCCTGTGGATACGAGGCAAAACTTCACGGAAGAGGCTTTGGTCAAGCTAGAAGCAGCCGCAAACTCGTTGCCTTTTGCCCACTTTTGTGACAAATGTGAGAAAGCAGCCCAAGCTAAGAGTGCACAGAAGAAGCGTTCCATTTTTTTCGACAAGGAACTAATATATCGGCTCCAGCGTGCCTCGCCTGGGCCCGTCTCCATCTTCCCAATTTTGCGTTTTTTGCTTCCCGAGACCGATCCACGGCAGGGACAGTTCAAGCTGAGGCACCGAACGATGGGAGATGTCATCGTAAAGACTTTGGGCTTGGCGACGAAATCTAAAGCGGCACTACGGATCATGAACTTCTCAATGCCGGAACAGTAAGTGGGGGCTGGGCTGGAGGAGGGCCACAGAGGGATGCATCCAGGGGGGGGGGGTAAATCGACGTGCGACGGCCCAGTCAGTGCATCATTACCTTCTATAACCTGTCTGCGAGTCTTCTAATCCTTGTCATCCTTTATTCTGCATCTTGGCGCGTTCTACTCTCTCTTGGCGGTACTGGTCCTCGTCTAACTATAGCCCTCCTTCCTCTTTCCCTCCTTCCGTTCTCCCGTCCTACCCTCGGTCCTTTCGCGCCATTTTTTTCGTACGCACCAAGTAACGGACCCAGGATGGGACCCAATGGTCGTATTTTGAATACATTGGGGGACTTTGGCAGCACCATTGAGGACGTGCTCGTTTCCCGCATCCGACAGGTACACTTTCCCCCTCCCTCCCTTTAGCCTTCCTTCTCGACTCCTTTTCTTCCAGCATACTCTGATTGATGCAATTGTTGTCACTTGTAAGCTAATCTTCCTTTCCTCCTTCTTTCCCCTTCCATTTGCCCTCTCTTTGCGCTTCCACCAGACTCCCTCTGACTTGTCTCTCCTGGAGGTCAACGAATGGCTGGACAAGCTGGTATCAGCCACGCCGCGTTCCCACGCCAAGCGGAAGGAGCGTGAAAGAGAAGAAATATTCACCCAGCTTTCCACCCTGTTGAACCCTCGGGAGATGAAATGGCTGGTAAGAGGGAGAGGAAGGGGCCGTGGAGCGGGTGGAAAGGCACGATAAGGACCGAAACATAGGATCGAGGAACGCCTTCTTGGCCCATGCCTGCCGGTCGCTGTAGTTCTAGCCGACCTTTTCACGGATATTGTTATGTTTCCCTTCCTTTCCCCCCTCGCCCCCGGCCGTATTCGGCTATTTTTACTCATTTTCTGCCAGATTCGGATCATTTTGGGCGACCTGAAGTGTGGGTTCAAGAAAGATTCGGTCCTCAAAGTGTTCGGCCAAGACGGGCCAGGGCGCCTGCAGAGAAGCTACGACCTGCGAAAAGTCTGCGCAGAGTATGCCGTCAAGTAGGGAGGGTGGAGGGAGGGCGGCGAGAGGGAAAGAGGGACCACGGGGAGGGCCAAGGATTTTTTGTGCACCACTTTCTTTCCTGCACGCATTTTCCTCGTCCCCGTCCCTTCCCTCCCTCCCTCCCTCCCTTCCTTTCTTCCTTCCTTCCTTCCTATCTCCCTCCATCT